TATAACAAAGGAAAACTGTTCAACCCTGACATTTTGCTGTATAAGTAATTAACTTTACATGTTTGCTTTGTAATGTTTTAGGTGGTAGAGTTTGGCACACTGGGTGTACACATGCTGAGATTCCTCAAACAGCTGATACAGAGTGTACTACTTGATAACCCAGAGGACGTGACTAAAGCCGTGTTCCAGAGGATTGCTCCGTTATCAAAACTCCACCATTTACATGAGGGACTCAAGTTATTCATGCAGCATTTCTTATTAAAGAAAAAATCTAAGGATGTTATGGACACTCCATTGTTAAGGGAAAGAATAGACATGGCAGTGAGAGTTTTGTCAAGTAGTTCACATCACTCTCAGTCAGAATTTGATGACTGATGTTACAAGATTTAAATTAAATATTAAATAAATTTTGAGAGAAATCTGTTTTAACACTAGTATTTTTTTTTTGTTTTCTGAAACTGTAGTCTTTTTCACATTCTCGTAACTGTCTTCTACCACACATGAGTCAAGATTGTTGTGCCCTGTCTATTTGTTAAATGGGCAAGTATGCAAAATATACTTCCATATTAACAAGAATACGAGACAATTCTATTAAAAATAAACTTTATTGATTTATGCATCACATTTACCAGATCAACTGAACATGGATTAATGTATGAAGTGCATAGAACTGCCAAGGCAACATGAATACTTGGGTATAGTGAAGAATTTCTCTCAATTTTTCTCTCAACGAACAACTTACACACTCATGATCACTATCTCTGAAGTTATATGTCACCTAATACATACATTGTGTGCTATGATTATTCTTGAAATTTTGTTAATACCTACATGTACTTCTCCAAAACTAAGTTATAAAATTATATGGATTCACCATTACATTTTTCTATGATACACTTGTATCTTTAAGATAAAATGGCAATATTTTTATGCTGCTTATATCAATCTTATACATCTTAATTATTATATAGTACAGTGAAACACAGTTATAGCAGACTCACAATAAATTATGTTTATAGCAGAGATTTTCATTGCTTATACATGTATGTTGAAAAGTGTATTAACAAGAAGGGGCCAATGAGCACATGTTTTTATTTGCTGAATCCACACTTATATCATATAAATATCACTAATCATAGCTTTGAAGTACTTGAAAAGAAGATTTTAAAAGGTTTCTATATATGTAAAACTTGGGTCAGCCATTTTGGCCCCACCCTAGCCACAGGGGTCATGTGAATAAAATACATGATTCCACATGAGTTTCATCTTTCCTGGCCCAGTGGATCTTCAGAAGGATTTTTAAAGATATTTCCTATATATTCCTATGTAAAACTTGGGTTGGCCATTTTGGCCCCCCACTTGCCCCAGGGGTCATGATTTGAACAAACTTGAATCTACACTACCTGAGGATGATTCCACATGAGTTTCATCTTTCCTGGCCCATCGGTTCTGGAGAAGAAGATTTTTTGCTATTAATTTTTAACAAATTTATGATTATCTCCCCTTGGAAAAGGGCGTGGCCCTTCATTTGTACAAACTTGAATCCCCTTCACCCAAGGATACTTTGTGCCAAGTTTGGTTGAAATCGGCCCAGTGGTTCTTGAGAAGAAGATGAAAATGTGAAAAGTTTACGACAACGACAGACGACGGACAAATTTTGATCAGAAAAGCACACTTGAGCCTTCGGCTCAGGTGAGCTAAAAACTTACGGGATAAAACAAATTATGTTCATAATGAATGAAAGTTGTTCATCCTGGCTTTTTGCTATAAGTGTGTTTTACTGTACATGGTTAGTACACATTTATATCCATACACATATATTTTTCCATGAGAGAAGGTTGACAACTTTCACTTGATAAATACACTCACTACATACAAAATAGATATATGTATCTTTGATTCTTTTCCATTTGGTGCCCTTGTACCAGGACAATGCAACACTGGCCGCTTTTATCATTGTTAATGGTTTATTGCTATTTAAAGAAAAACTGAATTTGAGAAATGAGTTGTCTCAAGGAAAATTAAACCAACAAATCAACTATCTATGCCTCATCAAAGTAATAATTGTAAAAACGAAGACAAAATACATAAAAATGCAGACAAACACTGATATCAATTAACAAAGACAAGTTGCATAATTAACAAATGCATTGCTACTAATAAATTTCAACATGTTTCATCTCAGATTGATAAACGTTGAAGAAATTGTGCGCAAAAGTGCGAAATAATATTTTTGAGAATATTTCAGATCATTATTGTTATAAAGTTTTTAAAAATTTTTATCTCTGAGATTCTTATTTGTACCCAGGATTTAGAAATGAATGGATACACATTCATACAGACCTGAATATGCATATAATGAAATTTCAACTTCTTCAGATATCAAAAGAGTTATTTTATGCAATGTAAATGCTTTGAAAAAGAAGATAAAAAGTAATGAACATGGCAGTTTGGGGCACATTTTTTGAGAACACTTAACAACGGCGGCAAATTTTAAGATGGTGAATTCCAAGAGCACATAAAAACTAAAATTGCAAGAGAGAGTTTTTTTTTTCATATTAGACATGAACAGACAAATACAATTGTAAAAGCTTTCTCAACATACATAAATATTGATATACCACACTATATTGCAATGACATAACCACAAATGCAAACATATTTAGTAAGTTATATCCATAAACAATTCAATAGCTTTGATGAATATCTACTTTAATATTCAGGAATTAAAAAATGACTAAAAATAAGAGTAGTTTAAATATCATATTAAAGCTATCAATGATTTTATGGCAGGAAATTGATGTAGACTTGTAAACGTATTGGTTGATCACGCACCAAGATTCGTCCTTGAAAAGACCAAAAGGTCGTAAATGAGTTTGGCAACTAAATTCTCCCATTTTGCTTTCTCCCTCACTTGAAGGCAATTCCATAATTCTTGTATTCAAATGACCGCTTCCTTTGGGCGAGATTTTACTAAATTGTGATTAAGGAGCTAGACTAGATAAATAAGTCCGATAATATCACAATTGGTGCTGCCTTTCCTCTACTCTTCACCGCGGTGACTGCAGATCTTCGACGTAATCGAAACCATCTTGTTGAGAGATTGTTCTGTCCGTTGTCATGTCATCAAACTACAAACAGAAAGAAAATTAATGAAATTTTTTTCAGCTTTTTACTCTGAAGTCATGGTACATAATTGTTCTGTGATAATGAGCATGCATATAATACATTTCCTTATTTCGCATTTTTGCAGAAAGAAATACCAGTAACATGAAGTAAGAACAACAATTTCTACCTATGTTCAAAGACAACTACCTGGTATTCATTAACAAAAATATTATTTTGGCTAGACTATAAGAATTACTGTCTTTAATTGCATTAATCTGCGAAAACCTACCCCACTTCGTTCACTGCGTAAAATGTCATCGGCCTCGATAGAAATGTCATCGATTTCTTCCTCTATTTCCTCGGCTATACTGCCGTTCTGTTCTGATCGTTGTTCCGATTTACTTATGGTGTGTGGACTCTTTGTTAAACTGTGCCTGTCAATAAAAAAACGTATAGTACTCAACAGATATTTTCCTTTCAACATGAGACGTTTAGGCAAAATCTCCAATTATTTCTATACTTAATGGTGAATTATTGAATCATGTATTTTTTTCACTCAATTTAACAAATGAATATTGAGTTACTGTAGATTTACTTTTCTCCATGGGGTCATAATCATGCGGAACTTTTATTTCTGTACAATCTGCTGGTAGATCTGAAGACTCTCATTATATATTTGCCTTATATTTGTATTAAGTTGGGAGGATATTTGTCAACTCGTACATAGCATAAATTAATACCACATGGAAAAAAATACTCCTATAGTATTTTATATGTGTACACATTCAACGTGATATGGCCATTTGCAATGAAAATAATAACTTTATAACATAACAATTACCCTGAGCTTTGGAAGTCATCATCATAATCGAAGTCTGAAAATAAAAGATAAAATAAAAGTCAGTGAAATAAAATGAACAAAGACTGTCTTTCACAACAAACCAGAAATAATGGGCTTCAAGAAAGATAAATCTGAATTAAGTGATACTCATGTGCAGCATATATCATTAATCAGGATGGTGAAATGTCAAATAATGGATATGTCTTTGGTTTAACTGCATTACAAAAATTGGATTTTTTTTTGTTATAGGAAACATTGGTACAAGTAAGAGGACGTGAAAAAGTGTCAAAAGATGTGCAATCACACTGGTTAAACAAACCAACCGTCTGCTTAATACATGTTATACAGAGTAAAAATATTCTTTGCTTCCTAATATAACAAACATTCTGTTCACCTTTAAATCATGTTTGGACTGGACAATTTGAAAGTACAAAATAAATCTAGAGTTGTTTGTATATATACTCTGATATGTAAATTAAATTGTGCAAAGTGAAGTTAGCAACACGCACCACCCATGTCCAAACCTAAGTCTGCCATGCCTCTGTCCATAGCTCGTAAATTCTCTTCCTCGCTTTCCACTGAAACAAAACATAAATCATTCATAAATTTTAAATACTGTACAAATTATTCCCAACTAGGATTTAAAACTTTTCAATCCAGTGATGTTTCCAATTACTATTACTATGATCATAAAATGAAATACATAAAGATGTAACTGTATCGGATATTCTACAATCTATGTCGAAAGCCACCTGGATACATAAGCACAAGTATTACACATCCCAACCATGATTAAAACTTTGCAAGGAAAAAAGTTAACAGCCCAAGTGCATCACATGGTAATTTTTGATATGATATAAATATACTTTCAACATCAAGTAACAGGAAAACATAATATGTTAATGTCAATGATGCTAGAGAAAAAGAAAAATATCCAACATCACACATGTACTTTTCTCAGACTAGTGAAACATTTATTCAAATTTTCATTTTCAAACTGTACAATCACCAGTTTAAAATACTAATACATTTTACTCCCTGAAAATATGTACATACCAATAAATGGATTGGAATATATCCTATCTGTAAAATTACTTAACTTTCAATCTATAAGTATTTAATTTTTTTCCTGGCAAATTTTTATTTTATTTTTAAAAATCAAAACCACTTTTTGACTGCAATTTTTTTTTTTGAAAATTCTAACTCTCTAATCAATCTGCACAAAGAAATACTGATTAGTATGGAAGAACATGGATAGATCAGTTATTAATAAATAAATCAAATAATATGCAAAAGAATTGAAAGAGATAAACATGCATGCGGTGTTTGAGTTTTGATCATAGTGTATGTGAGATTACTTTGTCTACATAAGTACTCACATGCTTTGCGTGTTTTGGAGGGAGTGAGATTTGGAAGGCCTGAGAGAGAGGACTGGACGCTGTGACCTTGACCTGACCCATTTAAGGAGGGTTTTCCGTCTTTTCCACTGTCACTGCTAACACTGCTGTTGGCACTGTAAATGGAAAAAGAAATTGAAAGATTAAAATACTGTTTCAATACATGCATCATTAATAGTCATGATAATATTGGAATACATGTATGACATTGGGAATTCCTAAAGAAATCCTTAGCAAAACACACTTGCTGTTATGAATATCGTCATAATTCTTCAAAAACAAGAAGCCCATGGACTACAATGCTCACCAGAATTGCCATTCTCTTTCCCTGATAAATGTTTACATTTAGATAAAATGAAACTCCTTATTTCAGTCATCAGCTTTCAAATTTTATTTATTCCTTTGTAACTTAATGTTGTTATATGACCCATTTTCTGGTCTAACAGTAGCCCTTGAGCCTTGATTGAAAAATAAATCTAATCAGTGGTTCTGAAGAAGTTGAAAATATATAGTTAACAGTAAGTGCACAGTCAACAAAAAGGGGGGAAATGTGACAAACCAGACAGTGATTCAGACTTCCTGAATCACTGGTCAGGTGCTCTGCATACTGAACTATCTGGCTAGTGATAATCTAAACCTGTCTGATGGTAACATTACTCCCTCCTTAAAAGTACCTCCCCCCCTCCCATGACACCAATCAAGGGTCCTCCTCAGCAGGTCTTTTTTCACCTCACTCCAAGGCATGGACATAGCAAAAACATGGCGAGGAGAAAATGTGGTGGACCAGACCAGGATTTGAACCCAGACCCCCTGAATCAATAAGTGGGAGTATACTGACTGAGCTATCTGGCCATTAGTGAGTGATCTTGTCTGACAGTCACAATACAATAGACAGACACTAAACACAATCTGATCAGAAAAGCTCACGTGACTTAAGTAATCTGAAAATGAACATGGATGCACAACGCACAATACAATACTAAAAAAATTAGAAAATCTGAAATTAGTTTGAAAAAACGAAGCCTTTGAAAAGTAAAATGACGAGGAAAATCAAACTAAAAAATTTCATAATAAATCCATCTCACTTTTTTTTCAAATTGCATTCAATAATGCTATCAGTACATGTAAATTTTAACCATATAAACCACTAGCAGACATTGTTTACAATTTTTTTTATTTAAATAGCTTAGATCTTCTACTCACTATATAGTGTATACTCTAATCTTAATTTTTAGTGGACTTAAAACATGCTAAGACTCGATCATGCTCTATTGTTCTTTATGTAATCATGCGCTTAATTTTCATGCAATATAAATAATATTGTTCTCATAGAAGCAAACATGTCTGATTTAAAAAAATCTTGCTCCTAAGAATTCACAACTCAAGAAATTTACTCTGAAACAATCATCTGGCAATACTGATCAATTTTGAACTTCTCTTTCTTAAAATTTAATGGGAAAAAACTAATTACAGGTTCAAACCAGAAGTCTCTCTCGAGACTGTAGCTCTACTGGTTTATACTTAAAACAAAGGAAGAGAAAAGTAGCAGTTGGGACTTGAGACTTTAAATCAGCATAATGTTCCAAAACAAGAAGCCCAATAAATAGAAAAATGATCCTTGCCACTCATCAAAATAAAAACCAATGCACAGAATTATGTATCTTAGTATAGTCTACTTGTGTGCCAAGTTATACTGAAATCAGACCAAAACTGCAGGAGGAGTAGCATTTTGAAAGAATTTCACAGAAATTTCTAGTTTTAGTAACCATGGCAACATTGTTCATTGAAATCAAAAACCGATGCACAGAATTATGTATCTTAGTGTAGTCTACTTGTATGCCAAGTTATATCAAAATCAGTCCAAAACTGTAGGAGGAGTAGCATTTTGAAAGAATTTCACAGAAATTTCTATTTTTAGTAACCATGGCAACACCGTTTATCGAAATCAAAAACCGATGCACAGAATTATGTATCTTAGTGTAGTCTACTTGTATGCCAAGTTATACTGAAATCGGACCAAATCTGTAGGAGGAGTAGCATTTTGAAAGAATTTCAAAGAAATTTTAATTTTTAGTAACCAAGGCAACACCGTTCATCGAAATTCAATAAAATAAATTCACACTTTTTTTTCTCAAAATCAAAAAACTGAAGCACAGAATTATGTATTTTAGTGTAGTCTACTTTTGTGCCAAGTTATAATGAAATTGGACCAAAACTGTAGGAGGAGTAGCATTTTGAAAGAATTTCATAGAAATTTCTATTTTTAGTAACCACGGCAACACCGTTCATCGAAATCAAAAACCGATGCACAGAATTATGTATCTTAGTGTAGTCTACTTGTGTGCCAAGTTATACTGAAATCAGACCAAATCTGTAGGAGGAGTAGCATTTTGAAAGAATTTCACAGAAATTTCTATTTTTAGTAACCATGGCAACACCGTTTATCGAAATCAAAAACCGATGCACAGAATTATGTATCTTAGTGTAGTCTACTTGTATGCCAAGTTATACTGAAATCGGACCAAATCTGTAGGAGGAGTAGCATTTTGAAAGAATTTCAAAGAAATTTCTATTTTTAGTAACCAAGGCAACACCGTTCATCGAAATCAAAAAACTGAAGCACAGAATTATGTATTTTAGTGTAGTCTACTTTTGTGCCAAGTTATAATGAAATTGGACCAAAACTGTAGGAGGAGTAGCCTTTTGAAAGAATTTCACAGAAATTTCTATTTTTAGTAACCACGGCAACACCGTTTATCGAAATCAAAAACCGATGCACAGAATTATGTATCTTAGTGTAGTCTACTTGTGTGCCAAGTTCTACTGAAATCGGACCAAATCTGTAGGAGGAGTAGCATTTTGAAAGAATTTCACAGAAATTTCTATTTTTAGTAACCACGGCAACACCGTTCATCGAAATCAAAAACCGATGCACAGAATTATGTATTTTAGTGTAGTCTACTTGTGTGCCAAGTAATATTGAAATTGGACCAAAACTGTAGGAGGAGTAGCATTTTGAAATAATTTCAAAGAAATTTCTATTTTTAGTAACCACGGCAACACCGTTCATCGAAATCAAAAACCGATGCAAAGAATTATGTATCTTAGTGTAGTCTACTTTTGTGCCAAGTTATAGAGAACCAAACTTAGCATCAAAATATGTATTTTTGGAACTACCGTATCAAATTTGATTGAAATCAGACCAAAACTGTAGGAGGAGTAGCATTTTGAAAGAATTTCACAGAAATTTCTATTTTTAGTAACCACGGCAACACCGTTCATCGAAATCAAAAACCGATGCACAGAATTATGTATCTTAGTGTAGTCTACTTGTGTGCCAAGTTATATTGAAATCAGACCAAAACTGTAGGAGGAGTAGCATTTTGAAAAATTGTTTACAGACAGACGGACGGACGACGGACGCATTACTATCGCATAAGCTCTTCTGGTCTCTGACCAGTAGAGCTAAAAACACTGCAAACCTATATACACTGTATGCAAACATGGACTAAATTTAAGAAAGAAAAAAAAGATGTTTACACACTAAGGGGGGATAACTCTGGTGCTACAATGCTGACTGGAAACAGACTGGCTATAAAGCACACATGTTAGATAGTGCCTGATGAAGTTCAGTGAAATTCTCTGACAGTGTGATCAAAACACTATACTCCAAATTTGAATTAAAGCCTTAAAAAATACAAATTATGATGAGACTGGTATTTGATGTACATATGGGTAAAACAGATCTTTTTGTCATTTTCTTGAAAAAGAAATCACCATTTCACATAAAATTATATGCATACTTCTTTGCCCTCACCAGCCATTTTTTAAGCATACAATCTACTGCTCCCTACTTAATTCCCATTCACCTTACTCCTTTACCCTTATTAATTTTACTTAAAAAGATTTTATTTACAGAAGGCAAGTAATGAACTTTTCTTAGAACATGTGCTATTTGTAATGTATCATGTTTATATAGCAACAAAAGTACAATTTTCATATCATTTTGCTATTACAGATATAAACACATGTATTGACATCGGCTACAAGAATTACAGTGTATGTTCAGTGTTGTGCATGCCTGTGGTTGATTATCAGTTTACACTGATGTCAAGAGCACTGCATACGTTCAGTGCATTTGACAGTCTCGTGAAATGTGCATGCAGTCAAGACAAATGATTATACCACACTTGAGTGTATACATACATGTGCACTTTACAGCAATAATTAATGTACATGATCTTTATAAATAGCCATCTATGGTTGACTTTTGTGCTAATGCATGAAAGTTAATGAGAAATATTTTGCTACACGTAGAGGAAAAAAAAATGGAAAGATTAGTTCAGAGTTTGACCGAACTTCTCGGCCGGTCAAGGAATTAATAATCACGCATACCACAGTACAAAATCAAACCTTCGGAGGGGTGAATACACTGGTATTTGGGACGGCCTGGTGCCCATGCCTCTGCGAGTGTCGACGGTAGCCTCAGCCATACTATTTATAATGTCCAATCAAATCAGTATATACTGTACATGTATTGGGTTAAATGAGAGAAAATGGGTTAAATAATTAAAATAAAAATAGTAGATTTCAAATATTAAAAAAATAATCATGGAGTGTTGAAACTTGCTACACAGAGTATTATAATAGAGAATCATAATTTGTAAGTAATATAAGCTGCAGGTTATAATGCTCTGAAGATTATTTGATCTATAAAATTTCAAAGAGAAAATGATACTTTATATAGCAATACATGTATGTATGTGTGTGGCATTTTTTTTTTATACCAGATCAATGATAAATGTGTACATGTACAAGCAGATGAACATTATATGTATTTTACATCAGCATTGGTACAGTATATTGGAAAAACAAACTTTTGTTTAAGACAAAAATATGTGCAAGATACACAATCTCAAATAAACAATCACTTCTACAAACTGTATTCATGTGCACAAATTTGAAATATATACTGGAAAAGCTGTGTTTACACTTTTCTGCATAGCATATTCTTTGAAGTATACATGTATTCTTCTGCAAGATGTTTTTAAGAAGAAAGGATTAATTCAAAAGCAGTTCATGAAGCTGGAGACAAAGGGAGATAACTTACGTTCCTAGTCCTTTCAGCCCGGGGCTGTGAGGGACAGGGTCGTCAAAAAATGGATCGTCAATCTCCACATCGCTACCACCTAATAGATCCACCTCTGCATTTGGTTTCTTCCTTTGATCGTTCAAACTGGACTGCAGGTTTCGTTGATTCTTAGCTTCCACAAATTCCTTTCTCTCATTTGTCTGGAAGAGAATTATATATTTATTAACCTTTATATGAATATGGAAAAAAAAAATTTCAAGTAATTAAATGCTTAATTTTTTATTTTAAATAGAAGTTTTAACTTTTTTTCAGCATACATCATAAAATTAAAGCCATATATGGCATAACTGATCGAAAAATATATTTTTGAAAAATACAAAATTAAGTAAAGAAATATAGTTAATACATTTAAATTAAAACTTTTCATACAATTCTGAACAAGGAGAACACCTCTTTTCAACTAATAATACGATTTTATCATCTCTGTAATGTGTTATTTAAATCTTTTGTATTTTCTTCCAAGTCAGAGAAAATTCCAATAATCCAAATTAAATTGTGATATCTTTATAAGGAATTTGACTTAGATTTTGTAATTTACGGAAAAGTTCTATCTTTATATAAAGTAATAAAACAAATGATACGTTCTTAATATAATTTTAGTCTTATAATTTTCATTGTACATACGCCATATATGGCTTTAAACATTTGCATAATTATTCAAGTAGAGAATCATATCAGTTCTTATATACTTTCTTAAAAGAAATAATTAAAAAATACTTTTACAGTTTAGATTTTTACCAAAATTTTGAGAGTAGAGTTTCACAATATTACAATTGCATCCTCACAAAGTCAAGGCTTTGTGGCATGTTTCTTCTACTAAAACATTACAAATCTTTGAGATTATGAACATGTATACACTGTTATATATCTCGATATTGTCGATATGTTTTTTTCTATTAATATTTACCTTGTGAGAATTAACCAATCCTGATACTTCTCCTGAGACCACCGTCCTACACTGTATAAACAATCTCTTGTACATCCCCAGGAACTCCTCAAAGTTTATACCTGTAACACCAAAATTAATATACAAATGTAAAACGTTACAAAGTTATCAAATTTTTAAATTATTGTCTGACTAGAATTTGTTGCCTCTCTTTATTTGTCAATAAAAAACAGTTTATCCACTCCCTCTCAAACAAATAAAGAACTTGCATGGAAATATGCTTTTTTAACATCAAACCAAATTCATCATCTTTGCTTCAAAGAAACATCTTGAAGAAAGCACTTCTGCAGTAATACTTTTTTTTTAAAACACTTCTAATTTAAATCAAGGATTTACTGGATTTCACAGGTAGCTGAATAGTTAGAAAATACAGAAGAGAAGACATATAAACAGCAGGATTTGGTTTTAAAGCAACAAAGTGGTAATCTAAATCTAAAGTCTTGAACAATATCTGTGCACTCTAAAAACATCTTTGGGATACTAAAAATCATTTTAAACAACTTCGCATAAACTACATTTATTTTGTCTCATAAAATAAATTGATTTGACATGCATCTACATTACATCAACAGCAGTACAAAATGGGGAAATATACCAAGCAGTCCTAGCTAAGAGCTGGGTTTCATGTCATTTTATGATCTACATGTATATTGCTTTAGTATACACAAAACAGACACACAATGTGAATTTTACTACCAGTTTTTTTTTTTCATTTATATCACAAAAACTACTTCACATACATGTATATCTATCCTTTTTTCAACAGCAGTTTACTTACGTGAGGCACCCAATTTAGCTGTAGAAAATTTATGCAATGAAATTGTAGTTTTGTTACCTAATTTTTTTTTTTACAGCACTATATGAATTTATTTGTTTGTTTGTATTTTTTTTTTGGGGGGGTCTACTTACAGCTGCTGAAGTCTGTGTCTGCTGCCTTAAATTCCTCATTTACATATCTCTCTATCATATTCCTAGAGGAATATTCAGAAAATCATAAAATGGTATCAAAATCTGTCCACACTCAGTTGTACTTTAAGTACCATTATGCTTCGTTTTGAATGGAATAAATACATTATTAGGCAGGAAATGTAATTTCTTTAACTTTTAAAAAAAATTTAAAATCCCTGCACACATTTTACTTACCTATTAAATCCAGGACAAATATCAATAAAAAGATCCCTTAATTCATTTTTATCTATATCTCCACTGTGATTCTGAAAAAAAAGATGTGGTTAAGAGAATACCCAGTAAATCCAAGTCATATATGTAGGACTCCAAAGTGCGATGGGACTCCAAAGTGCGATGGTCTTCGCCAAACCCCGATGGTCTGCACCAAACCCCTATGGTTTGACACGCCAAAGTCTGATGGTGCGGAAAACAATTAACGTTTGTGACGTCATAGTACTGCTGCGCAAAAATGCAATGCCGTGCCATGCAAAGCCCGATTTGTTTAAAATAAATTGCAAATAAATATTGAATGCAAAGACTAACCCTAATCTTTAAGATATAGGTGCGAGACTAACACTTATCAGTCGAAAAATGTGTTAAAACTATAAGCTAGATAACTAGAATGGGTGCAGGACTGACCTAAATTAGTCCAATATAGTGTGCGATGACTAACCGTAAAATCTCTCGGTGATACACATTGGTGTTCAAGAACTAACCCTTATCAGTCGAATAGTCTACAAGAACTAACCTTAATAGCTCTGGTAGGCGAAAACAATAAGAAAAATAAGTTAAAATGTATGTGAGACGAATACTGAATCAATGGGTTTTGAAAGCAGAACAACGTCATGACGTCAGACTATTGTGACGTCATAAATGTTGATTGTTCCTCCGCACCATCGGACTTTGGCGTGTCATACCATCGCACTTTAGCGTCGCGCGTCCCATAGGAAACGAGCCATCGGACTTTCGCTTGACAATCGGACTTTGGCGCCCGTAAAGACCGCGTGCCATCGGGGATTGGCGCAGACCATCGGGGTTTGGCGAGACCATCGGACTTTGGCGTCACCATCGGACCTTGGAGTCTTACATATATAATTATCTATAAGAACTCTTAAGGTCTTTCCATACTCAGAGTTATATGGGTTTAATTCCAAATTTGTTTTGCATACTAAAAGTAGGATATCTAAGCAACACAAAAAACAAATAAAACTAGCACATTGCCACATTAAATAAGTATATCAATGAGGTCAAGATATATCTGTTTTTCAAATTTATTAAAATTCATGCTGAGGTACTTTTTATGTTGGTTGCTAATTAATTGGCTAGAAAGTAGCTCTTAAATACAATAGATAAACTGAAATAATATTTTTACACAATTTTTTTAACAATACAGTCACATATACATGTTTAAATGAAAAAGAAAGCATTTATGTTGTTCCGCTAAAGTTGAAAAAAAATGTAAAATTATCAGCAAGTTCAGGTAAAATAAGAAAAATATGGGTTTAAACCTAATAATTCTTTTTAAAGTAAGTAAATAAACATCTAACAAATTGATAAACATAAAAAAATGTATACCTTTCCATATTGATAAAGTCAGTGCAGGCTGCTGTTTAACCCCCCCCCCCCATTTTTTTCTCAAACACAAAGAAAAAATGCAAAATTACCCGCATGAAACTTTTCTTTTGATATCCATTATATGTACTAAAGAAGTGTGAAACATGAGGAGGCACATCTATAGAGTGACCCAAATGACCTTGATCTTTAACCTTTCAGCAAATAAGAATTTTTGAGAGAAAAAGTTGGAAGACCCAACCACTTGCTGGTATTTTTTCATGTTTTTTACCCTCAATATCTGGACCTGGGATATCTCTAAAATTCACATCAATAGTAAATACATACTACACATTTGTAAATGTTCTCATGGTGCATTCAAATAAGCCACAACTTTGTCAATAACATTTTTGGATTTTGATACTCTCAGGATCTTTGTTTCATCTGCACGTTCACAGAACACATTCCAGATTCCATTGTATGGGTCACGTTTGTGAATTCATCTCAGCTTTGATACTAGACAGACTAAGGGAACAATCAACAAGATTCTTCAATATGTTTGGCAGGGATGAAATAACTTTAGACTTCACTGAGGTGTCTAATGATGATTTGCATGCATAGTATGACAGAGCGAACACATCATTTGAAGATGACATATCAGATATTTTTTTTCTCGTAGAGTTGCTTAAGTGATTGTGTGCATCTTAAGATGTGATTTCACTAAAATCTCTTGCTTATAGTTCTCTACATCAATCCCTTTTTTCCGGATTTTTTTTTTGCAAGTTCCATTCTATCAAGAAATCCAGAAACATTTTCTTTGAAATGTTCCAATAAACCATATTTTGCCAGCTGATTCACCAGGACTGGGACATCAAAATTCTGCACATTGTGGCCAACCAAAATGGGCTTGAAAAATTTCTTTAAAAACTCAAGGAAATATCTAAGACCATCCTCTGGAGGGACTGATGTAACTGTTTGTCCTTTATGTTTTAGTACTCCACCAATGTATGTCAGCCGAGTGGCCGCAGAAGCTTCAAGACAAATCTGAGTTGTTGGTCGCATATAGACATTCATCTCTTCATTCCCTGATACCGCAGCAATCTGTAGAATATCTGGTGTTCTGGCTACAATTATAAGTTAGACAATTAGAACTTACAATGCAAAAATGTAAATTTACATATACCAACAAATAAGAAACTATTTGCAAGCTGAAAAAAATAGTAAACTTACCTAGCCAAAAGTGAAAAATTATCATTGTGGACTACGATCTGGAGAAACTTTGTCTTGCTTCAAAACAATGTCCTGGAGATCAGCATGATCTTGAAAAGCAATCTTTGATTGGTAGGTTTCACCTGTTCAAAAAAGGCAAAAAAGAGAAAATGGGAAAATGCATGTATCATTTGATTAATGTCAACAATATCAGCAGTGATCAGTAATATCATGCTTTTGAGTGAATCGCCCAGCTAGTAGACATGGTGCACTTCCTGTTCAGCTTTAATAAAATTTTATTTAAAAATGTAAATTTGAAATATGTATTTGAGTTCATTATATAATGAGACTTATACACAGAGGGGCACATCCAATATTTCAAATTCTAGAAATGTTTGACAACAACAGATCAACAATTACACACAATCTGATCATCAAAGTTAAATATTTACATTCGCTGTGTTTTTCTAGTAAGCTAACTGTGAAATTGATTTGAAAACCATTTTCGTGGATACTCACGCATAGAAATATACACGGAGAAACGTGAGTTAACGTGACATGACAATGAGGCAGCAGCGATGTTAGAAAAAATGCAACGATATATAGGGCAGCGAGAAATTCAAATACTTAGCATATTTTAGTTGCTTCCAAACATGTAAAATGTAAATATAAGGAATGTTTTTCAGTTTAGTGTGAATTATTGGTGTGTGAATCACACAGACTTGCATGTAGGCATATTTTTCATGAAGCGCTAGCGCGCTTCATGAAATATGCCTATACGTGACAAGTCTGTGTGATTCACACACCAATAACTCACACAAAAATAAAAGACATTCCTTAAATTAACAACTTTTTTGTGTTATGTTTGAGATTTTTAATTCCGCAAGCATATTTTTATGTGGGTTTCCCCCAAACCCCCATTAATTATTCCTAAAATAAAAAAACAAAACAAAAAAACATTTAGATCTTAAAGGCAAACATGCGTGTAAATGAAGAAATTGCCATTCACATATTACATTATTTTTCCACTATACATGAAGTTAGGGATATATTATATTCACATACCTGCAGCTTACTTTGTTTTGACATCCCAAGCTTGGCCACCATTTACTGTAGCATGTTTAGTGCCAGTTGGTATATCATTTATAAATCCACACTCAGGATATTGGCATTTAACAAGTAAAATTTGGGCTAAACCAGTTTTTTTTTCACCCACACAGTTTAAGAGATGTAATGGCTGACTGCAAAGATATCATGCTTTAAGTCCATCAGCCAGGGTCTCCAATTCTACCACTCTTCTTCCAATACTCCATTCTCTACCGTCTAAATTATCCGTGGTAACATCTTGTCTAGCAACATGATGTACAACGTGTTCAACGCATCTTTCTAACCTTTAAACATTATAATCGTGGTCAACTATATGTACGGCCGTAATAGGAACCAATTTCGATGGAAAACGAGATTTTCTGCCTTTATCTAAGGCGATTACTTAACGTTTATGGCCCTTTTTACAAACCTCCACTTTTTATTTCGCTCCATATTGAAACCGGAAACGAAGAACGATCTCTAATAAAAGAGTCAACACGGTCGGAAAATATTATTACAATTTTGTGACGTAATGCGGGTATGGAAATTCCTTAACTTTTGAATAATTGAAACATATTCAACTTATACATCTGATACATAAAATATATTTTTTTTATCAATAATCCAAACTTGACTTAATAGATTTATTTGTGGCCTTACATGTGTCTCACTATCTGTTTGCATATACATGCAACAAGAAATTTCTCACAACGATGAAAATTATAGTTATATATAGTTAGGCCATGCAAAGTTAATTACTTGGTTATCAGGCCTTTTTTCAAGAAATATGATGAGGGAGGAAGGCATTTTTTTTTTCTTTTTTATTGCCCCCAAAACATGATGAGGCAGCTTTTTACATTGTACAAAACCTCAAAAAAATGATGAGGGAGGTGATTTGGTGTTTATATTTTATTGATTTAGCAATAAAAAGGGTCAATGAGGCACCCTTGGAAGAGATGAGGGAGGGCCTGAGAACCAAGAAATTATTTTTTTTTTGCCTTATATATATATATGTCATAGTTGACATAAACTAGATTTGACAGATCGACAGTTTGCTTTGTACAAAGCAAACATTGTACATAAAATTTACCTTATCATAATAATTGAACTTTTGCTTGGCTTCTGCAATTTGGGCAGGTGTTAGTTCCTTTGAAATAAAAAACAACAACTTTAAAATATGCTAAATAAAATAGCATAAAAAAACAAGCAGAAATCAGACTAGATAAGTAACTTTCTGTAAATTATTAAAAATACCCAGTCAGCTATGGCACTTACATCTGAGACAGAGACTTTTGTCTGGGGTGCAGTTGGTTTATTCCCTGACAGTAGAGCACCAAGAAGGGGCCCTTTAGGGGGACCATCCGACTCTAAAATATTTAATTCCTTTGCTAGCTGCTGCCTGCCTCCATCATTAGGTCCCTGTTGAATATTCAAAGAAATCATTGACTTGTATGTGCATTTAAGAAACTGTGATACAGTCAAATTCAAACACACAACTTTGTACTTTTTTCTAATATGTACATCATTCACTGGTTTAATTTATCAAAGTTTTGGTCCAGATTGACAGATCTGCAGGTCAATATGTTTTCATTTTCAATACTCACCAAGCCAGCTTCTGGTTCAAACACAGCTAAGGTGTAGTCCAGCTGGAAGAAATCTAGGAATTCTCTGACCAGTCCAGTGACTGCTTGACCTTACAAAAATAAACATTCAGTAATAATATAAACTAAAATGATATATGATCACTGTACGAGATAGGGTAAAATATATATGTCTTAAATAGTTCATTACTCTACTATTGGTTATATAATTTTAAAGATGTCATTTGTTCAACATATGATATTAATTATTTAATAATTATCACCAATATTTTACCTTCTTTTGTACTCAAAAACTGTCTTAATGCAGGATTAGCAAATGGTTTGTCCTGAATCAATAAAAAAAAGATGTAAAAAGATGCAAACATCAGCACTTTTCCTCCATAAAATTCTGTAATATTTAGCAGTTACATACATACATGTGTATTTCCTCTTGGCATATGATTATGAATTTAAGAAAGAAGAAGACATTAATTCTCATCACCAACCTGATTTTGCTCTTGTTCCTCTAATGCAAGGAACACACTGGCTCGAAGCTGTGCCTGTAAAGTTGAAAAATTAGACATCAAATGCTTTTTATAGATCAATACTCTTAAAGAAAATGATGCATATTACTGCCATTCAACATGTTCAATGGCTAAAAAAAGAATTTCTGCTATAATTCCATCCTTCTGATAAGTCGAAACCACATTTCAAAAAAAAGTTGTCGCTTTATGCTACCATATATCTAAGCATGTGATAGCTGCAGTTCTGTAGCATTAGCCTATGGTTTTATATTTTAGTCTTCGACCACAACGCTACAGATCCCTTAATGCAAAAAAGGTGTGATTTACTGCTCAAGATTTTTTGCGCACTTTTGGAAATAATTTCTACACTTTCCAGCATCGGTCCATCAACTACCTTTCACTCCCTAATTCTAGACACATTCTGTTTCCAATATGTATATTTTATCCACCTCCCAACCCTTTATAAAAAATTGTCTCTACAGGCAATAAACTCGCTTTTGAAGTGAAATTTCAGCAATTTAATAAATAATTTTAAAAAAAAGCAAACAAATAACAAACAAACATTGAATACCTAAAGAATGTGAGCTTTCCTAGCTGACTCGAGAATTTTTTTCTATAATCTCCCCCCCCCCTCCCCCCTTTTGACAAAAGTTTAACAACCATGCAACCTTTTGAACAAATTTAGAATTTTTTTCTTTTTCTTTTCTTGTTCGATAGCTTTTATCTTTCGCTCTTTTTATCTCTTTATATATCAAAATCAAAGAATCATGAGAACCAACATAATCTCCACACATGCTTTCTTGTCCATGCATGCCTGGATTTAAAATTCAAAACACCTCATCTTAATTTAATTCTAAGTTTTCTCTCAATCTTCTATCATGCATGCATTTTCATACAGCATTGCTTTGTACAACTGTTAATGTTATATTTACCCTTATTTTCCCCAATACACCATTTGCTTCTAAGGTCTGGGCAACAAGATCCCTAAGTTCAGTATCTTCGTCGGCTGACATTTTTGTTTATTATGGTTATGCTCTATGCGCATGTTCAGGTGCGGGATGGAATCGCTACACGTATAAAATATTTCGAACAAAACAATTATTTATATTTATATGAATAGTGTACAATAAAATGAAAAGCTTTGTTTGAATTTGAAATAAATTAGTTTCATAACTTTAACAACTTTCGGATCCAATTAACCAATTTCTTTCAGTAAAGTAAAACCTTTATTATTCACACGCAGGAAATAAGATACGAATTAAATGGACACCGTCAGGAGGACCTTTCGTTAAAATTCGTGTAATTCCGCCATTTGGTAAACAATTAAGTTACTGAATCATCCAGCATATGTTTTGTTATTCTGACAGCTTCAAAATTGCACTAATGAAAAGAATTTTCCTTCATAACACCAAGAGGTATAACAAAAAATCATTTTAGCTTACTCGCTGTACCCCGCGTGTTTCCGTGAAATAAAAATACGGAATTTCCCGAACGAAGAGCGCTCGGATCTTCTCGGTCGATTCCATCTGTGAAGAAATCTTCCGAGGTGTGCCGAATGCTTTAAAGAGTTGTTACCATAGATTCAACCAATCACGTTGTAGGTATTGTGAAAATGAACCAATCAAAAATTTTCCACGTAACAATCACCGTAATTTCGAAGAATTATTTTTTGACAAGCTTTCGAAGAGAGAAGTTATAAGGCAACATTCACCACTAAAAGTTTTTCGACACATTTTAGTAAGTATAATCGATGGAATTTATATCAAATTCTTCACTTGAGAAAAGGAAAGAAATGTCAACGTATAGTTAGATGTTTATTTCATGAGGAATGATGTGTAACGTTAGGCCAATATAAAATTTAAAAGTGAATATCCTATGCTCTAAAGTTTATATTCCCTGTGTTTTCACATGTAGGGTCTGATGCTTAATATTATTTTTGTTTAAAATTTTTTTCAGCAGTTTTACATCGTTTGTTTACTTCAAAAGAAAAAAATGCCAGCCAGCGAAAACCGAATAAAAACTTACAAAAACAAAGGCAGGGATGCTGATGTAAGTATTTACAATGATAGATTTATTTTGGTACTTGACGTACTTAATTTATTAAGACATTAGATTTTCAATAAAAAATAGCCGCTGCAGATCTGTAGCTTATTGGTAAAAAAAAAGAATACATCTGAAATTGTTGACTATATCCCCCCCCCCTTCTGTGACCTCTGGGCTATCACACAAGTGACTTTTTTGGGCACCTACAATTTGCATTTAAAGGCTGAGATTTTTAACCATACGGTTTTCTGAGGTAAGAGGAGGGACTTAATTTTACATCAAAAGTGTACCTTTACTTTCACAAGAGGGGGTTTGGAGGGGTTTGTGATGGAGATTTGGGATGTATAGGCTATAAAAATATTAATTGCTCTGTTTTCAAAAATGTTCAAAATCAGTCCCTGTTGTAATTGGGTTCATTTGTCCTATCTACCTTTAATCACTTAAGCGAGTGTACTTTTAGAGAGAGAGAGAGGAAGGGGGGATGCATATATGTATATTTCTGGATAGCTTTATAAAGCTGTTTAGCTAAGTTGAGCTATTAAGTCTAGCTACTTTGAATAGTTAAATAAAGACAAATTGCCCATCCTAATTGCAGTTAAGAAATAAATAGAAAGACGATTAATAACTTAAAACATGCTTAAAAAAAATCCTTAATTTCTAGGAAATGAGGAGACGACGAACAGATGTTTCGGTGGAGCTTAGAAAACAAAAGAAAGACGATCAACTGCTAAAAAGAAGAAACGTAGCTATCGAGGACGAAGATGAAGCTACTAGTCCTTTAAAGGATAACTCCAATAAGGTAATTAATAGAATAATGTGACTGATTAATGCAGATTATTCAATAACAATTATAATGCACTTTTATTGAATTGCTGAAGTGTAGGACTTTTTTTTCAGGAAAGTTTATGGGCAACTGAATTTTATTAAATCTGATAAAGAGAGCAACTGAATATTATTAAATCAGATAAAGATTTCGTATGTTCAGCATTAAACATGTTAAATAATTGAATCCAAAGTTAACAATGACAAGTTTGATATAATTGTTTTTTATCTGAACTGGGGTTGCTAATAATTTTTTGAAGCACTGTATCTGCACTGATTGACACTGAAGTACACTTCCACAATGTTATGAACACCATTACTATTTACAGGGCCCAGGCCTGACACTGGTAGAGATAATAGCGGGGATAAATAGCAATTCCCCTCAAACTCAGATGCAATGTACGCAGGCAGCCCGAAAACTTCTCTCCAAAGAACGGAACCCACCCATTGATGACATCATTCAGGCGGGAGTTATACCCAAGATGGTGCAATTTCTGGGTCATAATGATAGGTAATATTTATGCAATTTAATCAAACAAAAATTGTAACTTGAACGTCATCAATATGAATGTTCAGCGAGTTGGAGGTCCCAGAATTTTTAAAACAAAGAATTCAACCTTGAAATCTCGACATCAGTCGCAAATTTAAATTAGATTTTTTTTTCCACATTTCCCTCCAATTCAGATTATGAGGTCTCACTACTTAGTTTGAGTTGTAAAACTTAAATCTTTATCTTGCATCCATAAGCTATTAAACTTGCTCAAGCAAAATATTGTTTTCCATCCCATGATCACAGACAATTATTTGAATACAGTCCTGTATATTTACATAAAATACTTTAATCTGTACATTTTGATGGCTTCATTTCAGACCAGAACTCCAGTTTGAGGCCGCCTGGGCCCTGACAAACATTGCCTCGGGGACCAGTGACCAGACAAAGTGTGTGGTGAAGGCTGGGGCAGTACCAAACTTTGTCAAACTTCTCTCCTCACCCCACCACAACGTGTGTGAACAGGCTGTCTGGGCTCTGGGAAACATTGCCGGTTTGTACTTTATTGCTAAATTATTTGCTGTTGTTCAAATGCATTTTGTGGTGTTTTAAACTATTATTTGGTAAAAATTTGACGCGCATGCAATTATTGTGAAAAGTTGGAGATTTGTTGGCATTCCAGGTAGAAGGTGTGATTAACTTGGAAGTTTTTTTTACTGTACTGATATTAACAAAATGTTCCTTTTTTTAGGTGACGGTCCTGACCTGAGAGACTTTGTTACAGAATCTGGAATTGTTGAGCCATTGTTAAGACTGATAGAAACAGACACACCTGTAAGTCTTGCAGAAATACTGTTTATCCATTGATACATCAATGTTCAATGTAAATTTTTATTTTCATTTTCAGTTAAAAATGCATTGAACCTAAAGTAAATTAATCCCATGCAGAAAAAATACTGTATATAGCAACTTTGTTAAATTTAGTCTTCCTTCACTGCCATTTTCCAATATACTGCTGAATTTTTTTTTTCTCGGTAAATTTTCATGGTGATAAATGTTTCTGACCAAAAATTTAACGATCAATACCTTTTCCATTTTAGGCCGGATTTTTGAGAAATATCACATGGACCTTGTCAAATCTGTGCCGAAACAAAAACCCACCTCCCAAGTTCAAGGTGGTCCGCCAGTTTCTGCCGACCTTGGCGAGGTTACTTCATCACAGTGACAGAGAGGTCCTGACGGACACCTGCTGGGCACTGTCTTATCTAACGGACGGAACCAACGACAAAATACAGGAAGTTATAGACAGTAGTAAGTACATGTTTTAATAGTAAAAGACTATGTGTTTGTTTGACAGTGATCTTCTCTCTGTTCCATACAAATATAAAAGGGTGGATTAAAATCTTTGTTATAGTACAATGTCATAATGAACTTGTCAGAAAATTTTGGTCAATCATAACCTTTTTTTGAGGGGGGGGTAGGTGTTAATGAGTACAGTAGTACTTACACGTTGAGAAATTGTTATTGAGAAAAAAAAAATTTCTTTTTCAGATGTTGTTACAAGACTGGTAGAACTTTTAAACAGCAATGAGGTATCTGTGATAACGCCAGCCCTGAGGGCCATAGGAAACATCGTCACCGGTGACGACACCCAGACACAGTGCATTCTGGACCACGGTGCCCTCCCAGCATTCCACAACCTTCTAAAACACCACAAAATCAACATCCAAAAAGAGGCAGCCTGGACTATCTCTAACATCACAGCGGGAAACACACAGCAGATTCAGCAAGTCATCGACCACCAACTGTTGCCCCCACTCCTCGAAATACTCAGCAAGGTAACCAAAGAGATTTCTCAATCTGGAAAATAAAAATTTCTCTGCTCAAAAAAATCTAAAGATACTCCAGTAATATTTAATAAGGTAAGCTAAAATGTACAAAATGTTCCTGCTTTTTATAAAGGACAAATCTTATTCTTGTCAAAATTAGGGCATTTTTTTTTCCACCACAGGGAAAGATTTTATTTCATGATTTTTTTTAATTTTTAAAGGGAGATTATAAGAGCCAGAAGGAGGCTGTATGGGCGGTAACAAACCTGACGTCGGGTGGGACAGTAGAACAGATAGCCTACCTAGTACAGCTGGGAGCCATCAAACCTCTGTGTGACCTCCTCACAGTCAAGGAGGCCAAGGTCATACTGGTCATTCTGGACGCCCTCTCAAACATACTGATGGTAAGGATCTACTGGGGTGGATCATAGATTTAGACAAGTGGATGTTGTGATCTCACTTTTTGATGAAATATCTTTTTTTAACCCTTGCACTTAAAAAAAAATCAGAATGTAAATTGTATTCTTGAAAAATTTAATGTGAAAAAGAGTTTTGTCATTGTAGCATTTAAATAAAATGTTACTTTTCATGGTAAGCTCTGAGGTAATGTTTTAACTTTTACAGGCTGCTGAGAAGTTGAACCAGCAGGATGTAGTTTGTGTGATGGTGGAGGAATCAGGAGGCCTAGATAAGATAGAGAACCTTCAGAACCACGAGAACGAGCATGTATACAAGGCAGCCCTGGAACTCATCGAGAAGTGGTTCTCTGGAGAGGTAGCTATTGAACATTTCTGTATTATTAGTTACACAGTCAGTTAGTGACCTAATACGGATTCATACAGGGTGTGAAAATGGAAATCCGTATTGGGCGAGGCAAACCGAGTCCCAATACGGATTTCCATTTCACACCCTGTATGAATCCGTATTAGGTCACTAACTGACAGTGTTACGAATTTATCCCGCTGAAGGCCCTTTTTCAATATAAAAAAATATTTGCGCATATTATGAAAATATTAAGTTTAATCCAATAACAATCAACATATAAAATCATTACGGTACAAGAAATTTAACTAAACTACCTACATAAACTGTTTCTTAGCCGCCATTTTTATTTACAATAACAACGCTTCGAACGGAATCGTAAGCCCAATTTTCATATTACTCATCGACGAAGACGTAATACGGAAAATTCCAGGGCGTCATGTGATCAGCCTTTATCCAATCAGCAATCTACAAATTTGTCTGAAGCGGGATAAACTTATTTTTGTATGTCTACTGACTCAAGCCCAATTGAATTTTTATGGCTTGATTTTTTTTTTATTTCTTATATATATATTTTTTTTAATTTGGAAAGGGTTGGGGAGATGTTTGGATGTAAATATGTGATTCTCTTAATATTGTGAACTCAATTTTTCTTTTAAAGATTTGAATTATCTATCAAAGTTGATGAAAAGTTCTTTGCATATTCTCTTCAGTTGTCTTATTTTGAACCTTATTCAACAGTTGACGGAACTCTCTATAACTTCTGATTGATTTTTTTTTCCTTATAGGAAGAAGATGAGAATTTGGCCCCAACAACCTCAGAAGGCGGTGCTTACCAGTTCAATGCTGCAGCTACCATTCCTCAACAAGGCTTCTCTTTCTAAGCTGAATATGTGATGTTTTATTGTGATATATCATACTCAAAATGAGACTAAAGGAATAAGGGAATCCCCCCCCTCCAAATAATAAGGAGAGGGGAAGTTGGATATTAATTAGTGCTTCTCACAAATGGATCTCTAGCTATTCTTGTGCAATCATGTTTAAAATATTAAGTTTCGTTTACAATATCGTCCAACTGTGTGAATGGAGGACTCAAAGTGCTAGATTTAAATGTTATGTGAAAGGTTAAATATTAAGTCATATGTAAAAATGAGCATTATTCATGTGCAATTTTTGGCGGTCTCACTCACTTATACACTAAAATGTGCTGTATTTCATATGCTTGTAATAATATTTTAATATTTTTTGTTTCATTTTAAGACTTATACTATACAAATGAATTTCTATTTTCCACTTTCTTCTCTGTCTATTCTCTCTCTTTTGATGACAATGTCATGTACTAAAGGGTGTTTAAAAAAAGAATTGTTTTTAAAGAATATGTCATTAAAATGATTGGTACATAAGTTTTTTTCTTTTTTCGTTACTTTTCAAGGGGGGGGGGTACTCTACCTTTCATAAGGCCATAACAACCCAAATGAAAAAGAAATCTAACAAAATACTTGCAAAATATCTTCAAAACACTAACAAATCATACTTTTATATTTTCTTAGTATGTTTTGAAAGTGTTGCATTTAATGAAACATCAATGCAAGACTTTACAGGATGGAGTGGCATGGTATTTTGTTAATGTTTCATTACATTGTTGGTGTTTTATTAATGTTTCTTTACACTCTGCAGAATGAAATTGCATTTTGAAAGTGTTTCATAATACTTGTCTGCATCAAAGTTATATTTTGTTAGCATTTCATTTGATTAACAGACATGTTTAGGCTTGAATTATCTAAGAGCAGTAAAATTTTCCAAGAACAACTTATCTATTTTCATCCTGTGTTACTAATTTTGCGCCAATTTTCAAACCACCAGCTCTAGGTCATAGAGAAACATAGAGGTTGATGAAGGGACATGTAAGTATATATACATAAATTATGTATATTGATCCCTGATTGGAAAAAGCATAATCAGGATGAATCTGGATATAACAGAGGTATTTATTGCATGACATAAAGTTCTTTTATGCTGGACTACAGTAACCTTCAATCTGTGAATGTGGATGTGTACATATATGGCCTGTTTTTATTTGGGTTTTGTTCATGTTAAGATTGACCTTTAATCCATATACTACCCAGCTTATATCCATTTTAAGCACTGGATTAAATGATGAATTATAATTATACTTGAAAATTCTGTTAAAATGTATGTGATTGGAGAAGTGGCCAATGGCTTGAGAATTATATCTTTCAACTTGGTGTTTTTAAATGTTGGAATGGTGTGCTATTGTCTATTGAAGAATAATGTCAACCCTGGAATTCAAAATACTGTGAAACAAGGTGTTTAGAATGTTTCAATATGAGATTGTGTTTAGATGTCTTCAAAGACTTGTGAATTTGCTAATTATAATTTTAAAAATTCAAATTTAGTGGTTTATTGATGATTTGTTACTTATGATTTGTAAGTAGTTTGTTAGAGTGTTTCGTAAGTATTTTGTTAAAGTGTTTTGTTAGTAGTTTGTTAGAGTGTTTCGTAAGTAGTTTATTAAAGTGTTTTGTTAGTAGTTTGTTAGAGTGTTTTCAAAGTAACTTGTTATAGTGTTTTGTTAGCTCATTTGCATGTGATTTGCTATACTATCGGAATACTTTCAAAACATGTGTTTTGTAAGTAGTTTGTTATAGTATTTTGTTTCCCCCTTTTTTTCATTTGGGAAATTAATAGTTTTTCATGCAGGCCGAACATTTCAAAATTAATTCAGTGCTGGGAGTGCTTTTCAAAAATTGTAAATTGAATTGATTCTGGACAGGGAGACTTGTTTTGTTTCTACATCGCTCCCCTACTTTATCTTTCCTCTGAGGTAAATAATCAGGACCATTCAGTGGATGCCCTGTATAATTACCGGCCGCCAGGAGGCGGTCGGTTATATGATATGAAAGTTTGAAGTCGCTGTGCGTTTCTGCGGAATTAAAACAATTTCAATAAAAATATTTAACATTAATATAAAAATATATTAAAAAGAGTGTCTAAATGTTTAACAAGAATGCACAATAAACATAAAATTAAGTTTTTTTTAGAGAATGAGGTAAATATTTCATCCAATCCTGATTGAGAAACTTGGACATGTTTGAGGTGCGGAGAAAATTAGGACATGTGTTGGGCATAGTCTAAAGCAAAGACCGCGTTATGTATATTGCACAATTTTACTTTCTCTATTTAAACAGGATTTGTCGTACGTATTTATTTTAAAATGACGTGTTCACGTGTACATATATAAAAATTTTCAAAAATATGGTTAAATGTTAATTCATCAAAAGACCTAGCAAGCTACAGAATATTACAAGATTTGGCCATAGCAGACGAGGATAATGCGCGATTTACAATGTGCCAAGAATTTTCCCGCTACAACTCAAAGAAACTGAAAGAGAAGAAATGTAGTGGCGGATCTAGAGGGAATTTAGTTTTTTCCTCTAAGAGAGAGAGCAAGGAGCCCCTCATAATTAAATTAAAACTACACTGCATATCTAGTTGTAGATTACATTAAACTTTAGTTTTAAACTTTTAATGTAAATGCCTCTTAATTATACAGGCCCACGGTTTGTTGACTCAGAGGACCAGGGGTACTTTGCCTATATATACATGTAATACTGAACATGCATTATATAATTAAGAAAATCATGCAATGTCGTGCACAAGCGTTTAATGTCACGAGGATATATATTAACAGATAAATGTAAGATATTTTAAAAACAGATCACCATTTCAGTCTTTAGTTGCTTCATAAAATTAAAGGAACAATTAATTGGTTTGCGGCCGATTTTTGACGCTTGCGTCAATATATGTTTCTTGTGTATTTACGAAACAAGTGCGTGTGACCCTGATTCTGATTTTTTGCCTCCGCCATCTTGAATAAAGTTAATAAAAACGAGCAGCCTCAATCACCATAATAACGTTCAAGGTAGCTGAGTACTGTACAATTTACATTAGAACAGCATTGTTCAAAGCGTCGTATGTAGCATCTATATAAATAATACAGATCAATTCGTGTACGCGTATTTGTAAACATTTCTCACGTGGCAAAGTATAATTTTAGATTTGGAAAAATTCAGATTTATTTTTAGATCAATGTCAGTAGCTAAGAATGTGTTGTTGATTTCGTACATTTAGCATATGTTTAGAGAATACACACCTTTAGGAAATTTTTAACAATAAAAATAATTATAAGATTCCCTCAATCTAAATTTAGGGAAGAATAAAATGACATAAATATGCAGTTGTTTATCTTAGTTCTTAATATTTTTTTCTTTTTGCCAAGTGCAGTCATGTTCTTCCCCCGTTTGCTATGCATTTTAGGGTGCATCAATATAGGTATGTTTCTGTAAAAAAAATTTAAAAGTAAAGTCATTATGTTTGTCTTTTAATAATGTATAACAATAAATATTTTTAAAGAAAGTGCATACAGTACTTAAGGAGACTCGTATTTAAATTAGATTTTTTTACCTTAAAGAATAGAAAATGCAGAAATCTAATTTTTTTTTTAAATCTTGTTTTAGCTTTATTCATAAGGAACTCGTATTAAAATTAGATTTATTTTACCTTTAAAAAAAGAAATTGATGCAGAAATCGATTATGTATTTGTCTTAAAGTTGTAGCTTAGAAAAAGAAAATGATGGAGGTCCGTTGCGGAATCAATTTCAGCTTGTGATTGAAGGAGGGGGGGTTACCATATAGTTAGGGGTGGGGGCGAGCAAAAATTCTGTAAAAAAGAATTTTAAAAAGGGCCATCAAACGTTATATTGATCATGAGTTGACACAAGTAGCTTTATGTATTTTATGTAGTATATGCATGCGATCGATATGTAGCCAAAAAAAGTGTAACTTTCTCAGGTGCATAATTTAATTGGTGAAATGATATCAGATTTAAAATTTCAGTGTGGACGAGTCGATGTCCCGTGGCTTCATCAAATGATGAAATACCTGTAGAAATGTTAGATTATGACCCTCGGACACAGATTTGCTGTGGAGGTCTCCAAGAACGGCACGACAACGGAGAGGAGAGAGGCTGCTGTGGGGGTAAGGGTTGTTTTATAAATAGATGAGACTCTGGGATCGCCCTTCGAAAATAGATTTTTGGTGACGCATGTATTTAAAAATATTCTCATGACAGGTAATTTGGGGGATGGAATCCTCCTAATTTTCCATAGAAAAAAATAAACGCAACTATATGATTATTACGGAAGCGTATTAGTGCCACTTGGACACTTCACTTTTTTTTTATTTCTACACTTTAATCTGTAAATTTTACACTTTAATCTGTAAATTTTACACTTTAATCTGTCTGTAAATTTTACACTTTAATCTGTAAATTTTACACTTTAATCTGTAAATTTTACACTTTAATCTGTAACATTTACACTTTAATCTGTAACATTTACACTTTAATCTGTAAAATTTACACTTCATTTGTTTATTCACACAGTCAATTTAGCATCTTCACACATCCTCAGTAACACATTTTTAAGCCAACAGACCATGTTTCGTGTATGATAAAATTTAATCCTGATGTTTTATATTAAAGTAAAACTTTTCTTTGAATATAAAGTGAAGAGCATATCAAACATACATATATTGATCACAGGTGCTTAAGGACCCAATATAGATTCCAGGGCCTATTTTTAGACTTTTTTCACATTAATAATACATGGAGGCCACAATTGTGATATAATCTATAAATCCTATCAATTCAGAAAATTTGCTTAAACTAACATTTTATTGGCTTACAAATGTGTTACTGAGGATGTGTGAAGATGCTAAATGTGAATAAACAAATAAAGTGTAAATTTTGATTAAAGTGAGATTGATGTGTAAAGTTGTACACTTTAAAGTGTAAAATTTACACTTTTGTGTAAAATTTACAGATTAAAGTGTAAAATTTACACTTTAAAGTATAAAATTTACAGATTAAAGTGTAAAATTTACAGATTAAAGTGTAAGATTAAAATGTAAGATTAAAGTGTAAATTTTACAGATTAAAGTGCAAAATTTACACTTTAAAGTGTAAATTTTACACTTTAAAGTATAAATTTTACAGATTAAAGATTAAAATTTACAAATTAAATGTAAAAATTACACTTTAAAGTGTAAAATTTACAGATTAAAGTGTAAATTTTACAGATTAATGTGTAAAATTTACAGATTAATGTGTAAAATTTACAGATTAAAGTGTAAAATTTACACTTTGAAGTGTAAAATTTACAGATTAAAGTGTCGAAATTAAAAAAAAAGTAAAATGTGCAAGTGGCACTAATACGCTTCTGTAGATTATATCTTATAAATATTATACATTCTAATTGGCATTTCAAATGTATCGATAACATATTCATGTACATGTGTAGCTGCCTGTGTATGTATTCATCATCTTCTTTACAATTTCGAGTGATACAATATAATCTTACAATCTCATAATTGTAAACTGATGTTTGTGATTGTCATTAAAATGTATTGAATGTTTTTAATTTTAAAAGTACATACATGTGTAATAAAAAAGGGGGATCCTACACAATAATTACTTAAAAGTCCTATTGAATTCACAGGTAAAACAGCCGTGTTATTCTTCCGTATGCTAGTTTAAAAATTGATGGTACTCTTAAAAATATGAAATAAAGAAAATTTAAACCTTTTCCAATTTAGGTGTGCACTTGTACAAAAAATCGGAACAGATCTGTTGTGCTTCCGGTATTGTCACTGATAGATATATTCAGACTGGGAAACACGCAGGACAAGAACAAAAGTGTTGTGGAAACGAGACCTACCCAGTAAAGACAATCGGTAAGTTTGTTTTCGTTTGGCACACCTTTGCATTTTTTTCACCTTCGTCATACCATACAAGCCATAACCTAGTCAAATTAAATCTTAGTTGTTTGGGATACGATTTCAAAATGTATATTCTTTGCAATATTTACAAGTATATTAATCGTTTATAGCTTGCATGTACAATGTATTTCATTTTACTGATCCAGTTGAGGGCATTTAAAAGAACAATGCATAGTTTAGTTTATGAGCAAAATACCCATGGACAGAAAAGTTAAAAAAAGAAATAACGCATTTTTCTTAATACATGTATATTGAACAACCCCCTCCCCGAACCTTTGACCTTAGGGCCACATTTTTCAAAATTCTAGAATAGTACTCAAATTCCTAGGATCAGAGAGGTGTAAGATTTTGAAAGAAAAGAAAAAAATATTTTTTAATGTATAATCTAGATAGAGCCATACCATACCCCAATACATGCGATCCAGGAGTCATGAAATTCACAATTTTGGAAAAGGCACAATTGCCCATCATAATAACTACTGTGAATCACTTTTTATTCGAGAGAACTTTATTTTCGAGTAATTGCGAGATAGTGAGCTCGAAAATATATAATTCTCGAGTATATAATAGTATTTCTTAAGATTATACAGAGAAATAACAAAATTCGTGAAAATTATGGCTCGCTAATAATAATTAAGAAGTCAATGACTATCTCGCAAAAATAAGGTACCGGATCGATCTACAGTATATTCTTGGTTCGTTTGCTCACTGCACAAGAGGATACATGCTTTTTATTAAGGAATCATTAATCATTGTTAAGTTAGTAGAGTATGCCAGAGCAAATACGATAGTTGGAAACGTGGGATAATTTGTATAACGGCCGGGCGGAGCCCGTATGCATAAATTATACAACGTTTCCAACTATCGTTGAAGTCCCTGGCATACTCTACTAACTATAGACAGGGAATACTTATATTATTCATTGTGAAATAAAATTGTAAATTTAGCTTTCAAAAATGTAGACTTGTAGATTTAAATTCCACGAGGCCTCCCATGTCAATTTCAATAGTCCTCGCACACTGACATCAAACGCAAAGGCAGCCGCACGAGATTTACATTAGACCCCTAGGCGCCATGAACAGATCTAGAAACAAAGACAACGTACGAGAGTTATGTGCAAACTAGGTCTCCGTAGCTCCCGACCCATGGCTTTGCTTAATTTACATTCCGGCAAAATTATCAAGAAATCCACTCCACTAACATTCAGAGAGTTATCACACAGAAAACAAATAGAAATGAAAAGATACTAGTATATAAGAATTAGTTTATTTCACTTTATAATCAATAGAGTACCGGAAACCCTTGACCTAAAGGGACGGAAGGGTGACCCTATAGTGAGCCTTCCCCCCGGAAGAATGGCTATACAGTGTTAATTTATCAAAACAATTTTTATAAGAGGCACCATGCTATAAATATACGGCATTATTTCAAAAAATTGTGTTTTCTTGTGTTATTTGCTTAATATAATAAATAAGACATTGCTGCAAGGTTGTTACAATGAATGTAAAGCAACCATGACAGCCATACGAAACAGGTTTGCAGCAAATATAAAAGGTAACAATGTCACAATATAATAAAGAAGTAAGCTTAAAGTATACCTTTCAATATTACAAAAAACGTTTTATGTTTTTCCATCCAATTACTGAGGTTTGCAGCAAACATAGGATTTTCCAGTTATTGAAACCTTCCTACTTCTTAATGACAAACATTGTTGTAACTTGCGGCGAACAATTGTTGTTTTAATTTGTTTCTGGCACATACCTGCTTACAAGCATCAAGCTCACAGAAAGCCTCTGCCCTGACCTTAATCTGTTAACAAAATGCTCAGTTATTTTTTTATATCCATGAACTATAAACATTTCAATCCATTATAACAAATGTACATTGTGTTGACCTACATGTAGATAACAATCTGGATTTGTGTGGAATAACAAACAAATTATTGGTTTGTACATGTGTTGAAGATAACAAATGGATTATTTTTTTTTTATTATTTTTAATTCATATTCAAATATCTTATCTCAATCAAGTAATGACAGATGCATATATCTGTGTTTTAACGTATAAAGTGTAAAAATGAAATTACACTCTACACACTAAAATTGATAATTACATTTCAGTGCAAAATAGTTTACTTGACAATTGCAATGTATATATATTTTTTAATTTTACGTATTTTTTATACGTGACCCAAACCAGTTTAAAAAATATCTGAAATAAATAATTTTTAAAAAGAATGAAAAAAAATTGTATGAATTGATGTATGGATGTGATGAGCAGGGGATGCACACATTTTATGTCAAAATTTTAAATAAATACTTATTTGATTTTATAGTGATGTAATTTCATTAATATAATAATTTCAAAATGAAATACAAATGAAAATACTTCATAAAATTTATAAAAGTTAAAAGGTCCCAAAGCATACAATAAATATTTAATTATGTTAATGTAATAAAATCCAAACCGAAGGGGGAAAACTTTATTTGTATGTATTTTTTCCATATTGAATAATCAAAAGCAACCTTTCTTTGTCAATTTTTGAAGAGGCACTTCACAAAATTGTGTCTTGTTTAAAGATTTTTCCAAGGTTGGATAAAGCAACCAAAAAAGGTTTGCAGCAAATATGCAGTAAGCTTAAAGCAAACGTTTTACCATCCAAACGAGGTTTGCAGCAAAATGAATTAGTTTATTTGACAAACTTTGTTGTAACTTGCGGCGAACAATTGTTGTTTTAATTTGTGTCTGGCCTTTACAAGCATGTATAATTTTCTGTTAACAAAAAGTCCAAAAAACATCATTTAGCAAATTCTGTGTTGTCAGTGTATTGGTTGAGAGGTTTACTCCTTAAATGTTTTTAGCGGACAAAAGATATGCTTGTATGTTAATTTCTTGCAGTTTTCCTACAAACATGTTGAGTTCCTGCGAATTTTTTGCAAGCTTACTGCAATTTCTGCGATGTTTGCAGCTAGCGGCACTCATCTGTGAACAAGAAAAAGTTCTTAAATTCTGCGAACAATTTTGTTCAGACTTGCAATTGCTGCAGGTCTGCAGCAAACATAAAAGTTTTGTAAGGGTTTAGACGCTATATAATTATGTATTTTAGGGTTCATATTGCTTTGTTTTTCTGTATGTATATCGGAATGCACGTCCAAGAAGGGTCTCATGTAGCATATTCATAAATTGCAAAAATTAGTACTTGATAATTATTGATCTCTAATTTTTTTTGGGACAAATCTTTAAGCTTGATCTCACCAGTATCTAAATATATGACAATATGAGTGCATGTATCTCGAAAACATTGGTGCATTTTGTTCACAAATTAATTCATTTATGATTAATTCTAAAAGTAAAAGGCGTTTCAAAATGATTTTCTTTTCAGGAAATAACACTTACTGCTGTGGAAATCAGTATATATCGACAAAAAATGGCTGCTGTAATGGTACAACCCCCTTCAACAAAACGATATCAGCTTGTGAGAAAAACCAACTCGTTCCACGGTTTCATGACTTTTGTCAGGGAACACTTTACGACAAACGAAAACAGCTATGCTGCGACGAATCCAAACTCTACAGTAAGTCCTCTTCTGACCGACATTTCCGCTGCTGCGGGGAAACTTTGTTTGATAACAGATTGGAACAGTGCTGTGAGTCGGGGGGTAAAACCAAAGTCCAGCCCACAACGGGGTACTGCTGTGGGACAGGTGAGCACTATCAAGTTTAAGAGATGTGTGGAATCTAAAATAGTTTAGATTTATTTTATATACCGGTATGCTGAAACTTCTTAATCGCTTTGCTTCTTCGTATATTAAATGAAATGTTCATTATTGCAGATATATCAATGACTCATGCACGATTCCATTTGTATAGAAAAGTTTGACTTCTCCACTTTGTATATAAAAGAGCTGGTTAATTTCTTGTAGATGTTTACAATTTTCCCAACGAAATCTGTTGTCGCAACAGCGTATACGACTCATTGAATGGAACATTTCAATGTTGTGGAAACAGTTCATATGATAAAAGAATCCAAACATGTTGTCATGGTATGTTTCTTTAATCTTTATATACATGCATGTGCATATTGAAATGTCCAAAATCGGAGTCAATTTAATTCAAAGCATATTATCTTCCATGGATGTTTATTCCAGGTATAGTGCGTGACATAAAGCACGTGAACGACCCGAAATGTTGCGGTAAAGATGTTTATTCAACAGAGTCACATCTTTGCTGCAGCGGTGACAGAATAATTAGGAAAAATGCCCCTGACCACGATAAGTGCTGTCCTCGGAATTCAGTGTTCCACTCCTGCAAAAATCAGCCAAGTAGACCATCAACATTTTGTGGGCGCCAGCGGTATGATAGCCGAACGGATCTTTGCTGCAATAGTCAGGTCCACAAGAGGGCCAAGGAGATTGGAAGAGAATGCTGTCATCCCGGAAAAAAGGATTATAATCCAAGAAATGAGAAATGTTGTCATGGAGTGGTGAAAAGCATTGCAGAGAGGTAATAGCCACATCCCCTCCCACATTCGCTCATTTATCAAGACACTCTGTGGGTTTGCACTTACATGTACACTGTCAGTCACCATTTACTAGTAATTCAATTAAAAATAACTATTTGGGCCGCTTATGTATCTTCGCTGCAATAGAAAGATTCGTGATCAGGTGAATCAAAGATCCAATTTTGATTTGATGGTTCTAATCTTCATTCTTTGTGTATTATGTTTTAGTTGTGGTGAACACTCAGACGCCCCAAGATCCTTGACAATAGGTGGTAATGGTAACATACCACGTGTACCCGGTATCTGTAGCATTAATTCCAAAGAGTGGACTACTTGGAAATTGAGAAAATCTATCAATACTGGCAGACTAGATATTTGTAGGAGAAATGGTAAGATTGTTTGTTTGTTTGCATGTTGTTTAATGTCCCTCTCAAGAATCTTTCATATGGATACGCCACCACTTGCTGGAGATCGAGCTGCATATTTTGTCCTACACTCGATACTTACGTGAATCTAAAGTGTACATTTTTATGCTAAGACTTGTAGACTATTTTTCGTTGATAAATTATGAAAAATGAGCATGGAAAGATTCTGTATAAAAAATGTCTCAAGCAGATCCAACCGGAACTAGCTAAGACTAGTATATATATAGAGAAAAAAGTTGTCCCAACGAAATATATTTATCATGATTGGACTCTTTGTTTGCTTATCTTATTTTTATTATGTCAAAACATTATTTAGGGGGTCGTGGCCATATATATGATACAGTAAATATGTGTAATCAGGAATTTCATGTATTTCCTGAATTTTAGTAAATACATGAAATTCCTATTCTGCGTAGGGAATACAGGTATTTACTAATTTCAGTTAGGAAATACACATATTTACTGAACTTTTTCATACTTTTTACACATATTTACTGACTGAATTTTGATGGGATAATCAAATTTAAAATATGAATTATAAGATATAAACAGATGCACAGTGCATTCAATGTTGAGTTAACAGTTAGCATAATTATCATGCGTGAATAAATAATATTTGAAATAAACTTTTGATTACTTAGGAATTTTAAAAATTGCATTTTTAAATATTGACCAAAAAAATTAACGATATTCTGCTTTCATTTTCTGGAATGTGTTTTCTATATCACAGCATACTTTCACTGACTTTATGTTATTTAATCTAAAAAAAAACTATAATTGCTTGCTGGCATTTCTTTTTGTTTTATTATAGATATTCATACAATGCTACATTTGTTGACAGTAAATTAAAAACCCTAAAGCATCTTATTTGCAAATAAAACAATTCTTATGCAGTCTCCTCAAAAATGCAACAACAAAAATCTTGCAGAATACACATTATTTAACTATATTGAAGTCAGTAATTCAAGATGAAAGTTTACTAAAAGGAATTTTCCACCCTTATATTTTGATAGTTCACAATAGAAAAAAAAAATTATTTTTGCTTAATAAGTTTGAATTAACTAATAATTGCAAAACATATCTATGTTGCCATAGTAAGACTCAAATTAACAGAAGTACTGAGTATATCAACATTTAAAGATCGTACATTTTTGATAAATTTTAAAGCAAAAATTATGTAAAAACTAGTTCAAATATATCATTCTGATGTTAAATCTCCAAATTAATAACTTCTTTACAAATATATTTGAATATCAGGGAATCCATTTAACATTAGCAGTACAAAAAGGAATTCAAAATGAATGCATGATGTCAGATTTATAGAAACAGTTCTTATTAAGTGTTGCTTAAAAAAATAATTTTTTAGTACCGGTATTTGTATACTTACGGAATATTTTGAATGATATGTATATTCATCCAGCTTAGTTCAGTAAAATCGTGTAAAATTGGCTAAAACTTTCAGTAAATACATGAATTTCCTAGCAATTCAGTAATTACATGTATTTCCTAAAATGGCCAGTAAATACATGTATTTACTGAATGGTTTAGGAAATTCATGAAATTCCTGATTTCACATTTTTACTGTAACATATACACTTCTCATCCGTAGTATTAAAAAAATCAGAAAGCTGGCCTCGTGTTGCAAGGCTGGCAAAGAACTGAGTGTCCGGTATGCTAAGTTTAATCAACATTCCAAGGATTTCCGGTCTATTGCTCTTATGTGGAGATAAGTTCAATAGCTTTTCTATCTTTCTTCAGGTTACTTAATCAAAGTCCATGATGTCAAATGTTCCAACTCGACCAAAGCATTATTACCGAGGGTGATGTTAACGGGTACTGCAAAGCGGAACTTATACAACGCTACAGAGGCTTTGGCAAAGAGAAAAATTATCAACCTCGATCTACCTTGCGGCTGTAACAATTATCATAATCTGAGAAAAAAGAAAATTATTCTTCTGACCGACATTGATTTGAAGGTTCCTCGGAGAACCTTCCACCTCGGGGACAGCGATATCATTCTTCCTTACAAAAAGAAGGTACTGAAGGATGTAAAGAAGAGGAGAAATTCAGCAGCTTGCGAGCCTCAGAACTGCGATGGAAATCCACGGCGATAACCAAGCCACAGACGTCTTGTTGTCTTAGACCGTTCTACCTCATTGTCTCAAGCCGCGGTCTGGAGGTTGCACATAGTTCTTTTTCACAGAGGTTTGCTACGATGGGTCTACCTCGCCTAGTCTCCAGGTGACGTGTATAAGATTTTTGGATGCATAAATATATTAATTATCCAGTCGCAACGGAATTGGAGGGGGTATAGTTACTCAGTCATATGTGTTCGTTTGTGAGTGAGTTAGCGATGCATTCAAGTGATGTAATTTTTATCGAGATTGGATTGCTGCCTTGATTTTTAGATTTGGTCTTTGCAAAGGGAAGCTGCGCCTTCTGGTGCTGTTTGTTTCCTTGGTAATTTTTAGTTTTATTGCACAAAATGTGGTGGAAATGTATAAAAAATAAACCTTTACCCATGAAAGGATGAAATATTTTCGGTTTTATGGTAGCGTCATGTGATGCAAAACAGTTACCCCTAACATGATTTTTACTGGAATAATTTCTTTGATATCAATGTGTTGTGTGTTTTACATATCAACAGTTAAGAGAAACTTAGATAATGGATCTCCAATGAAATAATTGTATTCTTGACAGATGTCGGATTGCATGTTTTATATGTGTTTTTTGTAATTTTTTTTTTAAAGTCAACATTCCATTGTATAATTGGCTTTATGACATTTTGTGATATAAATCATGCCATTGCATTTTTTTGCAAAACAATAATTTTCTAGACTCATAATTTCTACTAATTTTTTTCCCTTTTTCAAAGCTGTCTCAGGGTTTTTTTTAAAGTTTGTTTTCCATATATCAGGGAGAAAACGTTCGGGGTATTTGAATATTTAACTTTTTATTTAAAAAAAAGAAAAGAATTTTTATTCTAAAACTGCTTTCATTTCATGTTTTGGAGGTCCATGATTGCTCTGTTCATATTTTGTAATGTTTAATGGAATCGAGCATGAATATACTGTTTATTATCTTCATATATTTCATTGTATGTATTATTACCAGTAACTACTTGTATTATCCTTGCCTTAAGGATTTTCTCCATTTCTAAACCTGTTTGAATGGCAAGGTTATTTACAAGTACATGTACTAGTATTTCATTTTACTCCTTGGCACCAATTAATTTTTTATCAAGAGTTTTTTTTTTTTATAATTATGCTTATCATTTTGTAGTCATGCCCATTTTGATTTTTTTTATCAACATCTTTCGTATGCGCTTTGAATTTTGTAGTCCAAACCCATTTTGATTTCTTTTATCAATAGTTTTTTTTATGTGCTTATCATTTATAGTCATACCCATTTTGATTTCCTTTATCAATAGCTTTCTTTTATGCTTATTATTTTATAGTCATACCCTTTTTGATTTCTATTATTGAATAGCTTCTTATGAGTTTTTCATTGTTAGTCATACCCATTTTGATTTCTTTATCAATAGCTTTCTTATGTGCTTATCATCTTGTAGTCATTTTTGTTATCAATAGATTTCTTATGTGCCTATCATTTTGTAGGACTTCATACTCATTTTGATTTCTTTTTTTTCTACCCAGTTCTGCATTTCAAATTGCTAGCTGTATATCAGCTTGTCTGTTACAATTAATTTTACAGGCACCAGACTCAATTTAACCTGCATAAGGAATTCTTAGATTACACTTAAAAAGTACAGTTTGTAAATTGTCATATTTAAATCCATCTTTGGTTTACTAGTACAGTCAAGCCCTTACAGAATTAAAAGTCATCAATTAATTTTTTTTTGGAACCAGGTAATTTTATTTTTGAAATGTGAAATGATTTTCCCTTGTTTATTTTTATAATCATTGTGTTCATTGTATTTTCCAGTCAATTTGTATAATTTTATACAGATTACTTTGTGCCTGAGAACAGCTCAGGAATAACTAACACTGCCATTTTTTTTATTAATAAAATATTTTTGTATATAATTTTTTTGTTAATAAAATTAATGTATATAAAATTGAATCCAGTATTTTCTTTTTAATGTATAATATTTTATGAACATGAAAGACCAAAGAATACGTGTCTTCCGTAGTAATAACAATCCAGATACAACCGTTTCAAACGTGAAACTAAGTTCAATTTCTCTTGCGTTCTTGAAAAATTTATTGTAAATTTGAAAGAAAAGTCACTTCGACGACCTTGTCTAGACAGAATGCCTAAAATAACAGGTTGTTATGGGGACCCAGGATCTCAAAGACCATAGTAAAGGTAGCAAAATGATCAAGCAACTAGAAAAGTCTTTTAGAAATTATTTCAAATGATATACAAAGCAATACGCATTACCATTTTTTAATTTAAAAAAGCTTATGCACATGATAAATAACGAAGTCCACTTTTTATACTTCGATAGACATTAAGGAAAATTTTCAAAAGCACGGGTACCTGACGTTACTTTTTTTTTCAATAAAAATATACCTCTACCTAATATTAAATAGGGGTATAATTTTTATTAAAAGAAAACGTCAGGTGCTTGTGTTCAAAAGTATATGAACGTTCCACATTCAATGCCACAAGATCAGTGTACGATTATAATTTTTGGAGAAGTCTTTCACGTATCTTATACATTAAATGTATATTTCTTAGTGTTTAAAGGAATAAATTAGGCTATATGTATTTGTAAAATTTTAGTTCAAGGTGTCCATTGAACACAGAGAAGAAAGAGGTGGGATAACAAAGTTCTGGACAAAAGATTTCTGTCGCTTTTCAAAGCGCCCCGGTATATGTTAAAAACTATCTATATGGTGTACTGCATAAATGCTATTGTTATACCCTTATAAATATCATTCTATATATTTATTACTTATAAAAAGTCCAACAAAAGAACTGTTTATTACATCGGTCTAACAATTTCACTATTGACCGGTCTTACATAAGAATTGTTAGACCGCAAGGTCAATCGTCTGTTACGTCACAATTAATTAATCATCGTTCAATATCGGCGACGCGAAAATAGCCGAAGTTAAGAGCTACAAGAGTTGTTGCTAACAGCAAAGTAAGGAAGAAGGGAAGAGTACGTTTTGTATAAATAATTTTTGTGATACAATAGATACATAATTGATTTTGTTCTTTCTCAGCTTCATGTTTTATATTTACTGAAGAAGCCATAATTTTCCACATAAAATAATTGATATTGTAGAATCATTAAACTTCAAAGGGACAGATTTCTGTAGTTTACTTAAATAAAAAAAAACATTCGTGGGGACTTAATTTCGTGTATTTACTCATACCTACAGAAAGAAAAAAATACTTTCAAAAACCTTTGCTAGAATGTAAATTCGTGTATAAGAGGTAACCACGAATTTCAGGGAAAGTGAGCCAAAACAAAACCTAATGTAATCGAATTAAAATCAGATACTTTGATCCGCTCCTTGTGCAAAAGATTAAACCCAATGAATCCAACAATATTTTATTATTTTACCTTTTACCGAAGTAAAGTTTCTAAGATGGCATAAGGTAATTTAAGTATCATACAGGGTTTTAATCTGGTTTTTATGTCATCTATTTTTGAATCTATGAATATTTTTAAAATAGATTTTAAAATTCCCCTCCCATAAAAAAAAACGATCGGGTGATTTAAACATTTTAAAATCTGATGTACGTATTCATGGGGGATAAAAAAAGGGTTTATCAGTTATGGATGTTTTATATCTTTACCTCAATGTGTTACCCTTTTAACGAATTTTGCGAATAACGTTTGCATTTTGACGGAATTTGAGCTCTCAGGCTTATTCATTCCCGTGACAACATGTAAAACCATCATAGGACTCTGACTGGTTACAGCTAGTGTTTGTTTCGTTTAAATTAAAAAAAAGAAGAGATAAAATGTTCGAAGGAACCATCATTTACAGTTTTAAAACATAGCATAAAGCATTGAAAATAACTCTGCTTATCAAAGCTACCTACATGAACATAATCAGCACCATTTGATGAGCTGCAGATCTGTAGCGTTATGCTACAGATCCTATAATGCAAAACGGTGCAATTTACGGTGCAATATTTTTTGCGCACTTTTAGAGAGAATTTCTTTACTTTCCAACATCTGTCAATTAACTACCTTTCATTCCCTAATTCTAGGCACATTATTTGACTAATCCATAGGCGTCGGAACCGGGGGGGGGGGGGGGGGGGGGGGGGGGGGGGGCCCCCCCCTCCCCACTTTTTTTCCAAATATATACTTAGTATAGACAATGAACATATCTTCGTAAGTTTACCCCTCAACTTTCCACAGATACGTCTCAGTATAGGTTACAAATGGGGAAAGTCACGCCTGCTAATCGATCACTTGCACAACCAGCAGTTGTGTATAACAATCAAAAGAGATCGATTTCCGGTTGTGCAGTTGATGCGAATAATTCCAGTGCACAGGTAGTAAATGGACTCGATTCAGGCAATAATTGATATTTTTAATAAAATATAAGAATGTGATTCCATGAGCAATTTATTTTTCTTTAATTTTACACTCTCATAAAATGCAGTGATTGTCGATTAGCGACTATATTTGTTTTGAAGCAAGGGCTGGTAGAGCGAAAACGCTGATTGAAAACAGTATTCGCCGACTAAAATTCGTTTTAATCTCAACTAACCTTGAAAATTCAATGTCCACCATGAGTATGCTACAAGTGCATCCTATCCACCAAAACTGGGACTTCGATATGTGTATAATTTGACAAATATTCGAAGAAAATAACATTGCTTGTGCATGCGATCATTCAGCTGTGAAAGAGATCTCGGGTTATGCATGAGATGAAGGACAAAAAGTTTCAAACTTTACGAATAAAATTAAACATTATATAATTATAACGTAGTCTTGCAAAATTTAAAACATAAAACTATAGAATTTTCTTGCAAATAAGTTGAATTTGTGAGAAAAAAAGATATATAAGATAAGTAAACTGTTGAAGTAGATCTGTTAGGGGAGGGGGTTAAAGTTTCAGTTACAATCAATATAATTACAGTAAAAAATTATGTGTGTATTATTTAAATCATAAATCTTGTGTGAATTATCCAATGCATCTTTAATATGACTATTCCGTATGCAAAAAAAAAAAAATAATAATAATTAATAATAAAAAAAAAGAGATAAAATAAAATTTAAAGAAACAGCATATACTGGGCAGTATATCATTTTCTTTCAGTACGAAATTGTTTAACTCAAACATACCTTACCTTTATTTGACGGTACTTCAACAAAAGTGGAGGGAAAGACCGAATTTTTCATGCTTTCATTTCATATATATTTTATAGTAAAAGTGCTGCCTGTGAAAAAAATAAGAGGCAGGCTCTCGATGCATGATATGTGTTTGCCAAGGGGTAAATATTTCCTGGTGTTTTGAAGCTAGGTATCCTGAATTTTGTTATCGAGATGGAAAGGATCAAGATGACAACACCACATTACAGGTGCTTCTGGACAGGACCCCCCCCCCCCCGGACTTGTTGGACACTTTTTTTCTCACAAATTATATTTATGACATTTATTCATCATGAATACCATAGGGGAATAATCGTCAAAAATCCAAAATAATCGTTCAATAAAAAACATCCCTATTAAACATTCCAAATAAAATTAATGCAAAGCATCAAATCAGCCGCAAAATTTATAATTTCAAAAATTACTTGTACTTTCTTTATTTGAAAAGCATCAATGCATGGGAAGCACAAAATGTTCAAAGCTGAAATAGATCAATTTCATTTCAGACTGTCTTCAAAGCAAAAATAAACAAGAGGCCCAGGGGCCACAGCGCTCACCGGAGCACATCGGGCTTGAATTTACCCCCCCCCCCCCCTCCAGGCGTTCATCATTTGAACAAACTAGAATCTACATTACCTGAGGATGATTCCATATAAATATCACTAATCATAGCTTTGAAGTACTTGAAAAGAAGATTTTAAAAGGTTTCTCTATATATCCCTATGTAAAACTTGGGTCGGCCATTTTGGCCCCACCCTTGCCCCGGGGGTCATGATTTGAACAAACTTGAATCTACACTACCTGAAAATGATTCCATATGAGTTTCATCTTTCCTGGGCCAGTGGTTCTTGAGAAAGATTTTTAAAGATATTTCCTATATATTCCTATGTAAAACTCGGGTCGGC